TCTAGAACCGATTAACCGCGATAAACGAGGGTGCACTGTACTAGCTAGGGGAGTGGCAGTAATTAAACTCTGCCTGAGGACTGAGCTTTTCACATGGGTCAGAAAGAAGTTGGCGAGACTGAAAATGGGCTTAGAGCTCCCCCCGTGAACAAAAGCCTTCCACAAACTAAGGGCGTCTCAGAATTCACGCTCCAGCGCTCTCCCGAGGTCGGCGATCCTGCTTGTCCACTTGTCCCAGCCCCAGTGACGACCTGAAAGGTTACCAAGCTGTCACAGTCACACAGCACAACTCTTCAGTTGCAAACCACAAGGTCAACCGTTTGAAACCACCAGGCACTCCTCAGGAGAAAGATGAGGCTTTCTACTCCCACGAAGACTTACAACCTCAGCCACCCGACAGGGCAGTGCTAGCCTGTCCCACAATGTCGACGAGCCAGACTTGACTGGATGCCACCGAGACCATGAGGAGACTGGTTGACCATGAATACTCTGCCCCCGAGGCCTGACCACTGTGAGGCTCCTTCTTCCTCAAACCCACTTGACTGACTTTTCGCTCTGCCCCTTCTCCCCCTGATCCTCCTGCCTAGTGTCGGGTCCTGGGCCAGAGCTGGGTTGCCGCCTAGTTGGGCCTTAGGTGTGTCCCAGCCACCCTCCATGCCACAACACTGAAATCATACCTTGGTGGTGAGGGTGGAGTCACTTTCTAAGCGGCCAAACACCCTGGGTGGCACAGATGGCTAAGTGCTCAAATGACGAACCCAAATGTTGGCGGTTTCAAACCTACCCTGAGTTGCCTTTAAAGAAAGGTCTGCCCCCTTGCTTCTGCTGTGGATGTCAGTTCTATTCTCCCATATGGGCTTGTCAGCATGCTCTGGTTTCTGGTTTTTGAGTCCCTAAGCACTTGACTGCTCACCAAATGGTCGGAGGCTCAAGCCCACCAGTCACTCCACAGGAGCAAAATGTGGCAGCCTAACTCCAGACGGATTTACAATTTGGAAACTCAAACTCTGTCAAAGACTCAACAGCAGAAGTGATTTAAAACGTCACCACCATGCTTCTAGGGCAGCGGTTCTCAACCTGGGGGCTGCGACCCCTTTGGGGGTCCAATGACCCTTTCACAGGGGTCGCTCGATTCATAACAGTAGCAAAATGACAGTGATGAAGTAGCAACGACAATAATTGTATGGTTGGGGGTCACCTCCACATGAGGAACTATATGAAAGGGTCGCGGCGTGAGGAAGGGTGAGAATCGCTGCAATCTAGTGTGTTCCGTGAGACCCTCGGGACAGTTTAGAAATCCAACAGGTAAATGTTAACACCTGGCACGGCAGGGCCTTTCAAATGCTGAGTGCTACACACACACACACACACACACAC